AGGCTGACGCCATGGCACTCTAGCCCAGGCAACAGCCTGAGACTATGTCTCAAAAAAAAAAAAAAAATTAAAAAACACTCAAGTAGCCCTAAGGGAAGGTCCATGTGGCATAGAACTAAGGCCACCAACCAACTAAGGCCACCAACCAACAATCAGCACTAATTTGCCAGGCATGAGCTACTTTGGAAGTGGATTCTTCAGCCCCAGTCAAGACTTCAGATGACTACAGCCACAGCCACCAACTTGATTTCAAGTTCATGAGACACCCCAAGCCAGAATAACTCAGCTAAGCCACTCTTGGATTCTTGATCCACAGCAACTGTGTGAAGCAAAAAATATTTGTTGTTTTTAGCCACTAATGTTTTAAGTTTGGGGGTAATTTGTTACATAGAAATGGATAACCAATACAACTGGAACTTTTTTTGTTGTTTTTTTTTTGAGACAGAGTATCACTCTGTTGCCCAGGCTAGAGTGCTGTGGCACCAGCCTAGCTCACAGCAACCTCAAACTCCTGGGTTCAAGTTATCCTCCTGCCTCAGCCTCCCGAGTAGCAGGGACTACAGGTGCATGCCACCATGTCTGGCTAATTTTTTCTATTTTTAGCTAATTTTTTTCTAATTTTTTAGTAGAGATGAGGTCTCGCTCTTACTCAGGCTGATCGCTCCAACTCAAGCGATCCTCCCGCCTCAGCCTCCCAGAGTGCTAGGATTACAGGCGTGAGCCACCGCGCCCAGCCACAACTGGAACTTTGACTCAAGGAAAATATGTTGGTTTATCTAATTATATAAATAATAATACATTCTTGTTACAAATTTCAAACATATATGGCCTGGAAAATGAGAATATCCTATAATATCATCCTTCTTATGATTTGTAGCACAAAGTTCCAGATTTTCTCCTTGCAAATATTAATATGTGTATGTACACATGTACAAACACGTGTGTATGTGTGTTTTTTTAATAGGCATTGGATTGCAAACGTGTATGTGTTTTATTAATGGACATTAGATTATATTAAACATACCATCCTGCAACTTGCATGATTCACTTAATTTATCTTGGGATATCTTTCTATGTCATTTTTAACATTTCTCCATATATCTTATTATGTGGACTTCTCCATTCCCTGTTGGGGAATATTTAGTCTGTTTCCAATTTCGACAGATAGAAACAATGATACAGTGGATGAAATGTGGGTAAATCTGTAAGATATATTTCTGGAAGCAGAAATACTAGATCAAAGGTGGACACATTTAAAATATTGATAGATGTTTCCAGATTGCCCTCCCAAAAAGTTGTACCAATATATTTGCCCATGGAATGTGAATTTCTATTTCCCTATAACCTCAATAACACTGGGTATCCACAATTGTTACCAATCATGTAAGTGAAAAATGATTGTTTTCTTTTGTGTTTAACTGTTAGCCATCTTTTCATATGTTTATCAGTTATTTGTGTTTCTTCTGTTTGGAATCATCCATCCATCTTCTTTGCGCACCTTCTTACTGGGTTATTTGTCTTACATATCGATTTGTAAGAACTATTTGCATATTAACATGTTAAGATTTTTGCAAGATATTTTATAGAAATTTCCCCCAATTTATTGTCTATACTGACTTTAACAGTTTTTGAATCATATTTAGGAACTTTTCTGTCACAAGCCAATGATGTGAGTATTATACAAAGCATGAAATAGGCTTTACAATTCTGATTTAAAAGTGGTTAGAATGAAGATTAAAAATAAACAAGAAAGCACTTCCTATTTCTGCAAATGTTAACTGTTGCTATGTTTAACCTTGGTATCAGCTTCAGCGACCAAGTTAATTTGGATTCCATTTCCTTTTAGTCTACCACATACTACATTCACCGAATTCCAAGAAGCCGTGAGGTTCGGCAGTCCTGGCTCTCCACAGTGCTCACCACCTTGCACGCCACGTGGCTCTCCTTCCCCCTGATTCTCCGCGTGAAGCCAGATCTGGTACGTAAAACCATCACTAGGGACAGGGAAAGTATTCATAACTCTCCTGTGGATCTTTCATTAGTAACAGGGTATTTTGTTTTCTTAAACAGCTATCATTTATCAATGTGCCAGCTAGTATATGAGACCCTTATTAACATATGCTAAAATTTATCATTTATAAAGTCACTTTGCTGAAAGAAGTGAGAAATTTGCCTTCCTTTTCTAGCTATAATTTGAACTCTAAATTTTCCTTGTTCTCCTAATGGTAATAACCACTAACAGAGCAGTATCTTTAACCAATTTATGCACCTAACTGAAATGTGCTTATCAGCCAAGAAAAGCCAGTTCTTTACTCCTGTTCAATAGTCATTTTCGCTTTTGTCAAGACTCTGCTACAAACTATGGTATGCAGTGGGCAGAATGTCATATATACTCAGGTTTTTTTTTTTAATTTCAGAATATTATGGGAGTACAAACCCTTTGGTTACATATGTTGACTTTGTACTGCTGGAGTCACTGGTGGGACTGCAAATTAGTACAACCTGTATGGAAAATAATATGGAGATACCTCAAAGAACTAAAAGTAGAACTACCATTTGATCCAGTAATCCCACTACTGGATATTTACCCAAAGGAAAGAAAGACATTCTGTAATAAAGACATCTACACTCAAATATTTATAGCAGCACAATTCACAATTGCAAAGATGTGGAAACAACCTAAGTGCCCATCTATACTCAAGTGTTTATAGTAAAGTAGTATAGAAAACAGAAAAACGAAAACTTAATTAGTATACTCTATGTTCAACCAAACCTTCCTTATCTATAAAAGTCTTAAGTTCTTTGTGGTCTTTAGCATAAAGTTCTATTATTAAATTTCAAGTGGATAATAAAGATCAGTGGATATGTTATCACAGTAGTGTACACAGTTCTTAAATAATAGTCTCTTTCCTATTGAAAGCAGAATTCATTAACTGGCATAGCCTGAAAGGAAACTCTACTTGCTTTCCAAATACACAAGTTCTGGCATAGTGTATGTTATTCTCATGAATAGTTGAACAAAAATGCATTTAGCTACAGTGATTTTGAAAGATATCTATCAGTTCATTGCCTTTCATGAGCTGGTTTGCAGTTCAAGTCCTTCTTTTGGATGAGAATTTTAAAATATGAATTTCCTATGTGAGTAGTTTAGATTGATTTTAAAATATATAATTTATATACAGTGAAATGCACAGATCTTAAGTGTACAGTTTGACCACATCCACGTCAAGATACAGAACATTTCCATCACTCTACAAAGTTTTCTGTTCCTTCCCAGTCAGCC